ATCCATATTATTTGAAATTTAGGAAATATTATTTAACTAAAAATTTACATTTCATTGAATACAATAATTGTTTATTTTTATCATCTGTTATTTTTACTCATGTTTAAATTAAATATTTTAAGTTAATTCAAATTTAAATAAATAAATATTTTTTAAATTAAAACAAAAAATACTCAATTTATGCTCCAATCAAGTGTTTCCTATACCAAAACCGGGCTCTAAAGTCGTCTGAACAAGTTAAAAATGCTGCTGAATTTGGAGAATGCACTATTGAACGAATTGGTCCATTATGGCCTACAAAATAATTCACAATAAAAACATTTTKATATAATAAAATATKTATTTGACAAAACTAATTACCTAGTGATAAAAGTTGTTGCCGAGAAGCATTACGTGCATTCCATGCACACAAAGATGTAGTGGCTTCATCCGGAAACATGACATACTCCTCAGTATGATTAAATAATGCTTGTGTACGGTGTTCTTGTTTTCCTATTCAAAAACAATGATTATTTATACAGTTTCAATGAAAATAAACACTAGTTACCAGTGGTTCCAGCTCCAGTATATGCAATCAGACATCTACTAGTGGATAACTCCCAAAGTTTCACTAAAGAATCTTTGCCTGATGATAAGATATACTACAAATGATAATAAAAAATTATTTAATATTAAAATGTTTATAAAAATAAAAGTATAAACATTTTCACCTTTCCATTTCTTGAAAATGTCACAGAACACACTTGACTACCATCGTGCGCTTTTTCAAATGTGTTAACACACTTATTAGACACAGCGTCCCACAGTTTAATAGAACCATCTCGACTGGAGGATACATAGTACCTGGCACTTGGTTCATACCTAATACATCAACATAAACAATACATTTACAAATAATTGAATAGGCAATACACATAAGATAATTTTTCACATACTTTATTGATGTGACAGGACCAGTATGTTGATGACTAGGAAGTGAACAAACATAACATTGAACCGTATTTATATCATAAAGCCTTATGACTGGGCTATTGGTACCCATTACAATAAAGTCTCCAAGGGGGTGGAAACTTATACATGTTATAGGTTCGACATCCTGTAATGTTGTTGTATATGATTAAAATAATAAAAAAATAAAATTAGATTATACATCTTACGTTTATAGTCTTGAAGGCTTTCTTCACAGATGTTTTTGAATAATCAAAAAGTTTTACATGACAATCTCGTGAGCCTGAAGCTAAAATTGGCTTATTAGGGTGGAACTCTAAGCATGTTACTTCTTCCAAATGATCATATAAAGTCCGAATTACTGGATGTCCCTGTCCTTCCTGATTATCAGTACTACCAATATCATGTGCTTTAGCCAGCATTCTTTCAACATCCAAAATCTATAAATGTTATTTTAATTACTCATCATATTTTATGTTGTAAAATGTAATTACTTTAATTGATGCATCACTACTCCCTGTTGCGATTAACTGTCCATCGGGACTAAATGCACCAGCTCTACATGCTCCTTTGTGGGATGTTACATATACAGTTTCATAAAGTGACGGTTCAGGAGCAGTACAAATGACGTTGGTCTCAAATTCTAAGTCTAATCAAATCAATTAATGAATTTAATACATAAGTTATGTAACATACAAAACATTAAGCATACCAATTCCCGGTCCAATCAACATTTGCTGAATTGGATTTAAATTTAATGCTTGTTCAGATTCTTTTTGTCTATCAGTTTCATGTTGTAAACCTTTCGTCACTACACTCATGAGTCGATCCGATGGAGAACAAGGTGGATCAGCGTTTACTTGGGCAGCTAAGCTTGAAGCAATTGTGGAATGACCATCATAAAAGAGTTGACTGAACAAAATGAAAAAAGTTAAAACAAAAATATTATGGTTTATATTTTACTAGGGTTTATGCTTTACCTTATAATGAGTCTGTATAAATGATCTCTATTCTTAATACACATTTCAGGTTTTGAATTATTTACTTCACCCCTCATCTTTAATGTCTATTGAACTCAATCTCAAAAAAAATAACTAATAGGCAATTYCAGACACAAGAAAATTATTATTCAAGTTTTTTTTTAGATCATACTATATATTATACATTTATACATTGATTATATATTATAGCAATTTAGCAACATGTACGATGTACCTAATATTATTTTATAAAATAAATAACATTGAATGAAATTATTGTTTACTTTTAACTTATACTTTACTTAATGCCGGACAGGAACGGATAATGTTTGAAATATGATAACACTATCAGTTTAGTAATTTGGTCTCAGAATAATAAAATAATAATAATAATATGTTGTGGTTTGGTATTTTGTACAGTGTGTACTGTCCAGTGTACAGGATACGAAGTACGGAAGTACGGGGCAAGGACTACGGCGACTCTGGAAGTACGGATGTATCCACTATTATATTTATATCTTTGTGCTTTTCTATTGGACACTTATCGAAATTTAAAAAAAATTAAATACTATTTTTGTGTAACACCATTACCTACGTCCTAATTGACTTATTTTTATCTGTCTAAGTYTATTTCTTCTTAAGCCTATTTTCCATTTGGACGTATATGGATTGGATTAAAGACTAAGTTTTTTAKTATGGAGAGCAAATCGAATGCAAAAAATAAAGTGTTCCAAAATATAGCGAATAGCGATATCACTTCAACGACTCTCCCATGCGGCAATGCTCCACTAGAGTGACATACCTACGCGCTGGACCAGTCATATTTTTAATAATTTAATTTTTAATGGGTGACATTTCAGTAAAATGTTCTACTAGCCGTAAATTTACCTTATCTTATCTTAAGATGAACCCAACCTTTCRGTCTCGTCGCTTTCTTTTACTGGGAGATACTACAGTGGCGTAGACATAATTTCTGAAAAGGCGAGGGTAAAAAAACGTCATACCTAAATAAGAGAAGAAAATTGGAAAATCCCCCAACTGTGAGGCTAGGATTTAGCGAGATATTGGTGTGTAAATATGTTCACGAATTGTAAATTATTTAAATATGAAGACTCGGTCTACGGTGTGTACCTTACCCGGCTTACCCTGGTATTGCAATTTTGACGGTTCCCGTTGGTCGTTTCACGTTTGTATAAAAATTCATTAAAAATKYAAAAACCGTACAACCACACCATTAGCTTTAATTTTTTACAGTTGATTGCAAATATTGTGATCTATGAGGTATGGCAGTTTCATCTATAAGGATCTAAGACCCTGTAGTCACTAAGYGGACGCCGGACKGCTGGAGTTTCACAAATTACGTAGTAAAATCACCCGACAGTTATGCAAATTTCACTCTTATAAATTAATTTAAAATCGWAGAACAACGCTATCGACTTGATATTTTCACTGTTTGATCAGACATATGT